CCTTTATTGCTTCTTCTCTGGGCTTGTTCTATTATAACCGGTAGGTGCTCTAAACCTCTCTCTTAATCCTTATTGGTATTTTTGTTTTGATATTAAAGTGAATTAGTTTATATGTAAACAAATTTATGTTTATCTTAGTGGTATTGGCTGTGTGTGTGTTATACATAAAGGCCAAGTAATATTAATATCATATTTTTCTTTTCTTTAAACAGGTATCCTGCAAGAGCATTTGTAGGTGACACATTTACCTACTTTGCAGGGATGACTTTTGCAGTGGTTGCTATCATTGGCCACTTTAGCAAGACAGTTTTGTTATTCTTCCTGCCCCAGATCTTCAACTTCCTGTATTCTGTTCCTCAACTCTTTCATTTTGTACCTTGTCCAAGACATCGTTTACCTACGTAAGTATATTTCTTTGTATCTCAAAGCACATTTTGAATTGTTGTTTGATACTTTCTTGTTTATGTTTCTTTGGTGTGCTTAATTATTTATAATTATCTATTCATAGTTATTGTACAGGAGTAGAACTACGTTCATATTGTCATGTCTTTAGTCTTTTGGAAAAAAAAAAAATTTCCACTGTTCATAGCATTTACTATGTCTTCTTGTGAACCATTCTATTTTTGTACCACTGTTTATAAAGAAAAACTTTCTAGTTTTCTTTTGGCAATTCTTTTTCAGTTTATACTATGGCCTCTTGTACTACCAGTTGATCAATCCTCTCTTGCTCCTTTTATAATCTTGAAAGTGTTTTATCATGTCTCCTCTTTCCTCCTGTCAGTCTAAAATGGTATATCCAGTGTTTAAAATGTATCATTGGAATTCATACTATTTAATTCTGCCAGCTATTTGATAGTGCAGATGTGACGCTTGAGTTTGTGCCCATGTTTACATCCTCTCCTTACTTTAATGACGGGGTTCCATTCCTAACAGTAGGTTGGTAAACAAATTGGTCATTAAGTAATGAGCATACTATATTGGTAGTGGGTTTGTGTCAGCCATCTTTAGATAATTTTTTAATGTCACCTTTGCACCATTTATAACATTTCTGATATATTTTTAAATGTTTATGCAGTAGTTTACTGTATACTATAATAAACAGAATAGAGGAAATCAGGTCTAATATGCATTATTTAGGTTTGCATACTAGTTGGAGAGCTGGTCATAAGTCTGAGTGGTTGGTAAACGAGTATGTTACTAAGTGAGGAGAGGCTGTACTGTGCTCCACTCTTGCATTTCTTCCTATACTCTGTCCTCTCTCTGTTGTGAACTGCTGTTAACAATCACTACCTACTTTTTGCATGTCAAATACTTTGTGATGCAGAACACAGCATTTATAGCACCACATTGACTACAGATAGCAAATAGCATTCAGTTTTGTAAGCATTTCCTTGACAGAAGAATTAGACACATATGTAATATCCAGGTATCTTTATTTGAAGACTTTTTGCCAAGAAGTGGCTCTATCAATTCAGTTGTAACTTGGTGTTGAAACTGGAAACAGTAGATGATGAGGTAATCAGTCCCCCAGCCTTGAATGATACCCTTCAAATTACCTCTGTATTGAATTGATAAAGCCATTGGTTGTGAAACATCCTAAGTAAAGATACCCAAGTGTTGCTTGGGTATTGCTATAATGTATACCACGATTGTAATGATTTATTTGATTGTTTCATAGTAAGCCTGGATGTATGATAAGAAAGAGATGATTGTGCATGTTATGAATGAGAAGAAACTGGATATCCTGGCTTTAGTGAAGCAAAGCTGAAGGGGGCAGGAGAGTTTCAGTGGGGAGAAATAAATGGGATTAGGTCAGGGGTTTCAATTAGAGTTAGAGCTAAAGAAGGAGTAGCAATAATGTTGAAGGATAAGCTATGGCAGGAAAAGAGATAATATAAATGTATAAATTCAAGGATTATGTTGAGTAAAATAAGGGTTGGATGTGAAAAGTGGGTTATAGTAAGCATTTGTGCACCTGGAAAAGAGAGAAGTGTAGAGAGAGAGAAATATTTTGGGAAATGTTGAGTGAGTGCGTGGGGAGTTTTGAACCAAGTGTGAAAGTACTTGTGGTTGGGGATTTCAGTGCTAAAGTGGGTATAAATGTTGTGGTGGGAGTAGTAGGTAAATTTGGGGTGCCAGGGGTAAATGAATATGGGGAGCCTTTAATTGAGCTATGTGTAGAAAGAGATTTGGTAATAAATAATACATATTTTATGAAAAAGAGGATAAATAAATATACAAGGTATGATATAGCACGTAATGAAAGTATTTTGTTAGATTATGTATTGGTGGATAAAAGGTTGATGGGTAGGTTTCAGGATGTACATGTTTACAGAGGGGCAACTGATATATTGAATCATTATTTAGTTGTAGTTACAGTTTGAGTAAGAGGTAGATGGGATGAAAGGAAAATGGAAACAAGTAAGAGAGAGGTGAAAGTGCATAAACTAAGGGAGGAGGAAGTTAAGGTGAGATATAAGCAACTATTGACAGATAGGTGGGCTAGTGCAAGTATGAGTAGTGGGGTGGGGGGGGGGGTTGAAGAGGGTTGGAATAGTTTTAAAAATGCAGTATTAGAATGTGGGGAAGAATTTTGTGGCTATAGGAAGGTGGGTGCAGGAGAAAAAAGGAGTGATTGGTGGAATGATAAAGTAAAGGGTGTGATAAAAGAGAAAAAGGTAGCTTATGAGAGGTTTTTACAAAGCATAAGTGTTATAAGAAGAGCAGAGTATATGGAGAGTAAAAGAAAGGTGAAGAGAGTGGTGAGAGAGTGCAAAAGGAGAGCAATGATAGAGTTGGAGAGGCACTATCAAGAAATTTTGATGAAAATAAGAAAAAATTTTGGAGTGAGATAAACAAGTTAAGAAAACCTAGGGAATGAATGGATTTGTCAGTTAAAAACAGAGTAGGGGAGTTAGTAGATGGGGAGCTGGAGGTATTGAGTAGATGGCAGGAATATTTTGAGGAACTTTTAAATGTCGATGAAGAAAGGGAGGCAGTAATTTCATGCACTGGCCAGGGAGGTATAACATCTTTTAGGAGAGAAGAAGAGCAGGATGTGAGTGTGGGGGAGATGTGTGAGGCATTACATAGAATGAAAGGAGGTAAAGCAGCTGGAACTGACAGGATCATGACAGAAATGTTAAAAGCAGGGGGATATATAGTGTTGGAGTGGTTGGTATTTTTGTTTAATAAATGTATGAAAGAGGGGAAGGTACCTAGGAATTGGCAGAGAGCATGTATAGTTTCTTTATATAAAGGGAAGGGGAACAAAAGAGATTGTAAAAATTATAAGGGAATAAGTTTACTGAGTATTCCAGGAAAAGTGTACAGTAGGGTTATTATCGAAAGAATTAGAGGTAAGACAGAGAGTAGGATTTCGGATAAGCAAGGAGGCTGTAGAGTGGGTAGGGGATGTGTAGATCAGTGGATCAAAGAATGGATCAAAGTAAAATGACATGGAGAGTGTATAAATCTGTAGGTGAAGGAAGGCGGGTATGGGTCCTCGAAAAGGTTGGAGGGAGGGGGTAAAGGAGGCTTTGTAAGCAAGGGGCTTGGACTTCCAGCGAGTGTGCATGAGCATGTTAGATAGGAGTGAATGGAGACGAATGGTTTTTGGGACCTGACAAGCTGTTGGAGTGTGAGCAAGGTAATATTTAGTGAAGGGATTCAGGGCAACCAGTTATTTTTATATATCCAGACTTGAGTACTGGAAATGGGGAGTACAATGCCTGCACTTTAAAGGAGGGGTTTGGGATATTGGCAGTTTGGAGGGATATGTTATATGTCTTTCTATATGCTTCTAAACTGTTGTATCTGGGTGCCTCTGCAAAAAAAGTGATTATGTATGCGTGAGGTGAAAGTATTGAATGATGATGAAAGTATTTTCTTTTTGGAGATTTTTTTTCTTTTTGGGTCACCCTGCCTCAGTGGGAAATGGCCGACTTGTTGAGAAAAAAAAAATTACAATTAATCATCCTGCATTTGGTTTGCAGATACAACCAAAGAATCGACAAGCTGGAACCCAGTGTTGCCAAATTTAAGGTTAAGGAAATCAAAAAGCCTCTACTTATTGTCCTTCGATTGCTAGCAAACCTTGGATTCGTTAATTTTGAAGAGAGTTTGGGAGAAGATGGGGAAATGTGTCAAGTCAACAATCTGACTCTTATTAACCTTATGTTAATTAAACTTGGTCCTCAGCATGAATCCAGTCTTACGAACAAGTTACTCATGCTGCAGGTACTAAGTTCTGGCCTTGCATTTTTCATACGGTATCCCTTAGCAGACATGTTCTTCTGATATTCCATATATATAAATATTTATATAAAATATAAATGACATTCGTGTTTATCACCAGAATTAAAGGAGTGTATGTTTAACGTGTAATTAATTCTTAATTAAGGAGTTTAAGCAGACTTGTGTTTTGCAAAGTAAATTTTTAATAAAAATATGGGATGCTGTATGTACTCGTACTTTGTGTGTATATATATTTTTTGGTAACGCATTAAGGCTCTTTATTAAATATTTGTTATTTATTATTAAATACAGTTACTTGTATTACCACATAAGTGCATACATGATACTGTCTTATGTAATATTTCATCACTCCTTTTAAAAAAGAAAGTCTATTTATTTCTAAATTTTTGAAGCCAAAGTTTTTTTTAATGGAGACTGTTCCTTCTTCTCTGAGATTACACAGCTTCTGCATCTCTACATCTACATTGTTACAAATTATTTTTACACTAGTAATTCATTAGCAGTATATATTCTCTTTTTTCTAACCTAAATACATACACATGTTCCTGTATCTTAGATGTGATTTTCCTTTTATTGTTGCATCTAATTGTTACAGAAGTTGATGTTCAATAATTGAAGGATTATATATGAGTGAATGATTACTGAGTGAGAGGAGAAGATGGGAAGAGCAAGAGAAAGTGAATGAGTGAGAATGGAAGGTTAAAGTTTGAGGCCACAGCTGGCAGTATTATTTCAGTATAGTTTTCAGGAATCTAGGTAATAGATTGGTAGACAGCAACCGCCCAGGCAGGTACTACCGTCCTGCCAAGTGAGTGTAAAACGAAAGCCTGTAATTGTTTTACATGATGGTAGGATTGCTGGTGTCCTTTTTTCTGTCTCATAAACATGCAAGATTTCAGGTACACCTTGCTACTTCTACTTACACTTAGGTCACACTACACATACATGTACAAGCATATATATACACACCCCTCTGGGTTTTCTTTTATTTTTTTCTAGGTCTTGTTCTTGTTTATTTCCTCTTACCTCCATGGGGAAGTGGAACAGAATTCTTCCTCCATAAGCCATGCAGTTTGGAGGGATATGTTATGTATCTTTATATGTGTATGCTTCTAAACTGTTGTATTCTGAGCACCTCTGCAAAAACAGTGATAATGTGTGAGTGTGGTGAAAGTGTTGAATGATGAAAGTATTTTCTTTTTGGGGATTTTCTTTCTTTTTTGGGTCACCCTGCCTCGGTGGGAGACGGCCGACTTGTTGAAAAAAAAAAAAAAAAAAACACCTCTGGGTTTTCTTCTTCTATTTTTCTTACTAGTTCTTGTCCTTGTTTATTTCCTCTTATCTCCATGGAGTGGAACAGAATTCTTCCTCTTAAACCATGCGTGTTGTAAGAGGCGACTAAAATGCCGGGAGCAAGGGGCTAGTAACCCCTTCTCCCGTATAAATTACTAAAGTTAAAAAGAGAAACTTTTGTTTTTCTTTTGGGCCACCCTGCCTTGGTGGGATACGGCTGGTTTGTTGAAAGAAGAAGAAGAAAAAGAGAAACTTTTGTTTTTCTTTATTTGGGCCACCTTGCTTCGGTGGGATACAGCCGGTGCATTGAAAGAAAGAAAGAAGTTTTCAGGAAACCTGCCAGCGAGTAGCCAGGCATTTCTTGGCATCTAGCTTGTATGTCAGTATGTGAAGCTTTAAGTGAAGTTGGATGACTGTAGTTTATACTTTTGGAAAGAACATACAAATATATTTTCTGTTTAATTTATTTTCTGAGATTTACAAATCAAAATTTCATTACTCTCTCTTTTATGAACTTCTCATAGATAGTTTCATGGTTTTTGAATGAGTAATAAAATTTTAAAGTATTTTGCTTGTTTTATTTAAAAAAAATTTTTTGCCTAATGATTTTGTTAGCTACTGTGAATTAGCTGACAGATTTAATATTGTAATTGCAAATCCCCTCAAAGGAGGTTATTGATGCTGGTGAGAGGCTCTTGACCCAAAGAATTGAACCTGTCTTTTCCTTCTTTGGATTGAATCTAATTGCCTCCCATTTTCCAGGCACTATATGACCCTATGGGTTTAATGTTTTTCCTTAAAAAATATACAGTAATCCACTGTGTTATTTCCCCAGCTGCCTGTTTATGTACAATGGTTATTTTCAGTTAAGTATATAGTAATGTAAAGAAAGCTCAATTAAGATTATTAGTAACTGTTGCATCCAGGACACTTCTTAAGCCTGTTTAGCCCTTTCTGGCACCAAATGAACAGAACTGAATATCCTGCTCTAAACAAAATCATTCAAGGATTCAATAGGAAGCAATCACAATGCTTCTTTCCGGTTTTTATTAAATTTCTTAATAAACCATAGGACGGTTTTATATTAATTCTTTAAAAAGGTTGCACAATAAAACAGAGCACAGCAGTACGCCGAGTTTCGTACAGCTCCCAACTCGAACAATTATGTAAGTGTATTATTGCAAGTGCTCCAGTATCTGGCTAATGTCCCAGTGTCTGGCTAATGCTCCGGTGTCCAGTGTGCCAAGGCATAATAGAGGCTCTCTCTGTATTGCAACCCACTATTGTATATACACAATCTCAATGTACTGTTTGCAAAGACATTAAATAAATAAAAAATAAAAGAAAATGCCCCAGTGTCGGGCTAATGCTCCAGTGTCTAGCTAATTCTTAATTATCTGGCTAATGCTCCGGTGTCTGGCTAATGCTCCAGTGTATGGCTAATGCCCCAGAGTATGGCTAATGCTCCAGTGTCTGGCTAATGCTCCGGTGTCTGGCAGGAATTGCAGACACTGCAAGGCTCCAGGCGGACATCAACCGAATCTTTCAGTGGGCTGCAGAAAACAATATGAAGTTCAACAAAGAGAAATTTCAATTACTCAGATATGGTAAACACGAGGAAATTAAATCTTCATCAGAGTGCAAAACAAATTCTGGCCACAAAATAGAGCGAAACACCAACGTCAAAGACCTGGGAGTGATCATGTCGGAGGATCTCACCTTCAAGGACCATAACATTGTATCAATCGCATCTGCTAGAAAAATGACAGGATGGATAATGAGAACCTTCAAAACTAGGGAGGCCAAGCCTATGATGACACTCTTCAGGTCACTTGTTCTATCTAGGCTGGAATATTGCTGCACACTAACAGCACCTTTCAAGGCAGGTGAAATTGCTGACCTAGAAAAAAGTACAGAGAACCTTCACGGCGCGCATAACGGAGATAAAACACCTCAATTACTGGGAGCGCTTGAGGTTCCTGAACCTGTATTCCCTGGAACGCAGGCGGGAGAGATACATGATTATATACACCTGGAAAATCCTAGAGGGACTAGTACCGAACTTGCACACGAAAATCACTCACTACGAAAGCAAAAGACTTGGCAGACGATGCAACATCCCCCCAATGAAAAGCAGGGGTGTCACTAGCATGTTAAGAGACAATACAATAAGTGTCAGGGGCCCGAGACTGTTCAACTGCCTCCCAGCATACATAAGGGGGATTACCAACAGACCCCTGGCAGTCTTCAAGCTGGCACTGGACAAGCACCTAAAGTCGGTTCCTGACCAGCCGGGCTGTGGCTCGTACGTTGGTTTGCGTGCAGCCAGCAGCAACAGCCTGGTTGATCAGGCTCTGATCCACCAGGAGGCCTGGTCACAGACCGTGCCGTGGGGGCGTTGACCCCCGGAACTCTCTCCAGGTAAACTCCAGGTAATGCTTCAGTGTCTGGCTAATGCCGCAGTCTAATTCTCCAGTGTCTGACTAATGCTCCAGTGTCAGGCTAATGCTCCAATGTCAGGCTAATGCTCCAGTGTTTGGCTAATGCTCCAGTGTCTGGATAATGCTCCAGTCTCTAATGCTTCAGTGTCTGGCTAATGCTCCAGTGTTTTGCTAATGACCCAGTTTCTTGCTAATGTTCCAGTGTCTGGCTAATGCTCCAGTGTCTGGCTAATGCTCCAGTGTCTGGCTAATTCCCCAGTGTCTGGCTAATGCTCCAGTGCCTGGCTAATGCTGCAGTGTCTGGCTAATGCTCCAGCGTCTGGCTAATGCTCCAGTGTTTGGCTAATGCTCCAGTGTCTGGCTAATGCTCTAGTGTCTAATGCTACAGTGTTTGGCTAATGCTCCAGTGTTTTGCTAATGCTCCAGTGTCTTGCTAATGCTCAAGTGTCTTGCTAATGCTCCAGTGCCTTGCTAATGCTCCAGTGTCTGGCTAATGCCCTGCTGTATAGTCCTTGTGGCTTAGCGCTTCTTTTTGATTATAATAATAATGGCTAATGCCCTAGTGTCTTGCTAATGCTCCAGAGTCTGTCTAATGCTCCAGTGTCTTTCTAATGCTCCAGTGTCTGTCTAATACTCCAATATCTGTCTAATTCTTGAGGATGGAAAAAACGTCGGTCAACGTTTCCTCTCGCAATTACACGTCTTTTGTGAATTCCCGTTGTTGTGTGACTGCACGTTTAGCAGGAGTGTAATAAAGGAGGAGAGAGTGGAACTCCCAGCCATGATCACCAAGCCTGCACGTTCTACGAAATATATGACAAATGTTAACACTTGCAGAGCCAAGTTGACATCATTCATACTCGTGCACCCGAGGCCTTAGTCTTGTAGTGTTCGACAAGCTCTCTGAAGCTCCGCTACAGTATATAGTGAGCTTTTATCGTAAATGACATTGAAATATTGTTTAATACTGCGAGGAAAGACCTTCACAGTACCTGCTATTCAGTTTTTCAATACACCTTTGCAGTAATATTTACGAAAAAAAATACACTATATAGGAGTTTATAAGAGGAATGATTATTAAAAAATAACCAAAATCCCCAGCGAGGACCTTCAGTGTACTCTGTAATAAATGACCAAGGTGGGTCTGGTATGTTTAGTAGCGTCATATATATCTATGAGGTAACATGTTTTGTGTAAGTTATTATATAAATAGTTGTGTACTGAGGTGAGACTAGTCACCATGAAGCTACGCACAATACCTAGAATTTACAAAGGAGATACAGTAAAATGGTGATGGGGAGACTACTGGGGTGGAGGGGAGGTGGAGCCTTGATGATGGTGAAGAGCTCTTCATCCAAGGAATTGAAGCTATCCCTCCCCTTCCCTGGATCAAACCTTATTAATTCCCTTTATCCAGGTGACGTCTCACTCTTACTTGTTAAGCGCTCCCATACATGCATGATTGATAATACAGGAGAGGGCCATAATGTTGTCAACAACCCTCTGAAAAACACGGTCATCATGAATACAGTTCTTGAACGCCGCGTCAACATGCGTGGTCCAAGACTCTTCAACCAGCTACCAGCAGTTACAAGAAATATTGCAGGAATATAAAAAGGCAGACATTTTCCAGGGGATACTGTACCAGCTCTTTCCGGTGAAGTGCTGGATCAAGCAAGCTGTGATTGGCTACGTACTCCTGCATACCGGGGCGTAGGTAGCAACAGCCTGCTGGATCAAGTTAACGGAGAATTCTGACCCTAGGGCTGTGAGTGTACGATTTTCGTAACTGTTGCTGGACTGGTAGCGCACTCAGTTCATACACTGAGGTCCGTGGTTCGATCCCCGGTACGGGTGGAAAAATTAGGACGTGTTTCCTTAAGAAACCTGTTGTCCATGTTCACCTAGCAGTAAAATAGGTACCTGGGTGTTAGTGGACTGGTGTGGGTCGCATCCTGGGACAAAATTGACCTAATTTGCCCGAAATGCTCAGCATAACAAGCGGCTTTCTATATAGTAGTATGTTATTGTTGTCAGCTATGGTCTGTATACCTTGTACATGTACTGGTAGAAATAAAGATTATTATAATTATTGTTATTATTATTATTAACATGTCACAGACATGTCTGACCCGTCATGCCCTCCTTCCATATACCTTTACTGACCCTCCTTCCCATTACCCGGGAGAAAAACCCTGCCCTCCCCCAGGTCCAGCCACCCTCCAGGTTTTTCTCCCGGTCTAGAAGATCCGGTTGGAAAACGGGGCTCCACCTGTGCCCCTCACCCCCCCTGTTGTGGGCACCCCGCCCCTCCTGTTGCGGGCACCCCGCCCCTCCTGTTGTGGGCACCCCGCCCCTCCTGTTGTGGACATCTCGCATCTCCTGCTGTGGGCACCCCGCCCCTCCTGTTGTGGACACCCCGCCCCTCCTGTTGTGGACATCTCGCATCTCCTGTTGTGGACACCCCGCCCCTCCTGTTGTGGGCACCCCACCCCTCCTGTTGTGGGCACCCCGCCCCTCCTGTTGTGGGCACCCCGCCCCTCCTGTTGTGGGCACCCCACCCCTCCTGTTATGGGCACCCCGCCCCTTCCATCTTCCTCCCTTCCCCACCTGTCATTATTCTCTTCCCTAATAAAAATGTGAAGCTAATTATTCTCACTCCCACATACGTATAAGAGTGGATCTTCCTGCAATTATATCACATAAATGTTAAACCTAAAACCCAATCTAACTTTATTATTTTTTAAATACACTACCTAACAGAATACTCCATACGACTGAATGTACAGCAATGCAAGCAACCATATGACCTGTCTTTGTAATACTCATTTGACCTTCCAAATGCTTCGCAATTACTCAAACCCACACTATTTGCAGATGACACTACATACGTCTTCTCTCACCCGAGCCCAGTCACGCTAGCCAATACTGTAAATACCGAATTACAGAAAATATCTACCTGGATGAGGACTAACAAACTTACACTAAACATTGACAAAACCTACTTCATTCAGTTTGGTAACAGAGCTACAGATGTACCTCTTAACATAATGATAAATGGATCACCTATCACAAAACTAACAGAGGGAAAATTCTTAGGAATCCACCTTGATAATAGACTCAAAT